ATCGTGATTCTTGATATATTCTTTATGTATGATAGGAAGATGCGTTTATTGATTTCTGCTGATGACTTTGTAGTTGATGATGTACGGGATAGGCATCTTTTGATAAAGTTTTATGGGTAGTCATTCTTTTTTAGGATGGACATCATGTAGTTTTCTTCGTTTCTCCATGAAGTTGTTGTACTGCAGTGTGTTCTTGCTCTTTTGAATAGAGTCTGCACGCAACTGATCTACCATACATAAAGAATATATCAGGAATCACGATAAGATTACTGAAACCACTTGGAATCGGTGTGACTTATAAATTAACAAATTTCCTCCAAACCATATTATACAGACCAAAGCATGTGACAACTAAAGAAGACAAACCAGATTTCATTTACAAAATCAACTGCAATAACTATAGTCAACGCTACATTGAACAAAGTGATCGCCCTCTTCTCATTCGTCTACTTAAACACCAATTGGCTGTTAAACGTCACAACATTTCATCACTCATTTCAATGCTTGTGGATAATTATGAACTGGTGTCACTTAACTCTGCAACCTGCAAATATGTTGTTGATTTATTTAGATATAACATTACCCAGTCTCCATTGGCTTATGAGTGCACTTCACTCAGTCCTACAAAAATTCACTTACGGATCAAATATCACAGTGGTAACATGTTACTGAGTCAGTTCCAGTTCATGATTATAAACACATCTTAACTGACAGTAGTAACAGGAACACAAACTAGGTGAACTACTTCACATCTTTCTCCCTCAAGCACTTCACACCAATACATTATGCAGAATCATAAACATTTGGAGCAATAAATTGAACATATGGCGAATTTCCAGTTGTAAAATAAGTTGATCACATGGTTAGTGGGAGGAAATATTGTTACTCTGAGGTTGATATTTGAGGAATAAATGTTGAGTTTTTATCAGAGAAGTAAAGAGGATATGACGAATTCATGGAACCTCCTTCATCGAATTTCAATGTGACATAGCTGTTTAGTGTTCACTCGCATTCCGACCGAGTGGTGGTTAGTTAGGCTTTCCTATCGAAATGATCAAATGATGTATGTTACACGAAACCGTTATTGTTTGAGGTTTTATGATAGGAGGAGGGTGTGTTGGATATTGGTGAGTTAACAAGCACTAATTGTTGGAGAGTAGGTGGCTACACTACGATGCGGGTGAGGGGTAGAAATCGTACTTTTATCCGTACTTGGGTGGGACAACAATATGTTTCCCGATGATGAACAGCCCTTTCTGCTTGTGCATCCTTCGCTTTTAGAAGAGATGTTAGAAATGTTCGGCTGCTGAATTGCAATTTTTTTCAGCACTATGTTCTTCCTTTGTCGGTGGTGTGAGTTCCTTATCAGTATTCGTCATAATTGAAGTTTAATCTTATGAATCCGTAAAGGCTGTGTGTGACCGATATCAAGTAGATTTTATATTATTATTAGTCCCTTGGGTTCCTAGTGGAACATAGGGCTTCAGTAGCACGTCTCCATTTCATCCTGTTCTCTGAGATCTTTTGAACCTGGTCCCACGACAGCCCACAAGCTCTCATTTCCTGCTCGCACGACCTCCTCCATGTCACCCTCGGACGTCCAACTCGTCGCTTCCCATGGGGATTCCACTCGAGACCGGCCTGACGCGTGATGTCCTCCGTCGGCCTTCTCAGTGCATGGCCAATCCATCTCCACTTCTTCCTGCATATTTGTTGCGTGATAGGTTCTTGGTTGGTTCGTTCCCAGAGTTCCTTGTTGCTTATTTTTTCTGGCCATCTGATCTTCAGCAGCGAGCGTAAGCAGTTGTTGATGAATGTCTGTAGTTTATTGGAAATACCTTTCGTGACGCGCCAAGTCTCTGAGCCATACAAGAGCACTGACTTGACGTTGGTGTTGAAAATCCGTATCTTGTTCCGCATGCTGAGTGCAGAAGATCTCCACACTGGTTTCAGGCTAATGAACGCCTGTCTTGCTTTTCCGATTCTGACTTTGACGTCCTCGTCCGTCCCGCCTGTAGTTGAAACAGTGCTTCCTAGATAAGTGAAGGAGGTTACTTCCTTTAAGTTTCTCCCGTTGACAGTGATTGGAGTTTGTTGTTGTTGTTGTTGATGGTGGTGGTGCGGTATCTTCATCACTTCTGTCTTCTCTATATTCACCTGAAGTCCCGTCTTCGCTGCCTCTTCTATCAACTTGTTAGTTTTTGCCTGCAGATCTTCAAGTTTATGTGACATTAGGCATAAGTCATCGGCGAAATCCAAGTCTTCTAGGTTCTTTTCCGTCGTCCAGTGTATCCCCCTCTTCTCGCTGCCTACTGTTTGCTGCATGATCCAGTCCACCACAATCAAGAATATCATGGGGGATAGTAGGCAACCTTGTTTCACTCCTGTCTTCACTTCAAAGGCATCACTGAGCTTCCCATTGTGGATTACTTGGCATGTGGCATCTTCATATAGTTGTTGAATGAGGCGGATAAAGGTTTGCGGTACTCCGTAGTATTGAAGCAGTTTCCAAATTACTTCTCGGTCGACGCTGTCAAAGGCCTTCTCAAAGTCGATGAAGTTGAGGTGGAGAGGTGATTGCCATTCTATGCTCTGTTCTATGATGATACGAAGCGTTGCAATTTGGTCTGCACATGATTTGTACTTCCTGAAGCCTGCCTGTTCCGGTCGCAGTTTTGAATCCAGTGCGTCTTTAAGCCTCTCCAGGATGATGCGGCTTAATATTTTACTTGGGGTGGACAGGAGAGTGATTCCGCGCCAGTTCTTGCAAGCACTGAGGTCTCCCTTCTTCGGCAGTTTGACAAGGTAACCCTTCTTCCAATCGTCAGGTACCTTCTCTTCCTTCCACACCTTCTGCAATAGTGGTGTGAGCATGGCCGCTGTTGTCTCTGCATCTGTTTTCAGTGCTTCTGGCGGTATTCCATCTGGTCCTGCTGCTTTCCCGCATTTCAGTAGCTTTATGGCGTTCAGGACTTCCATTTTCGTTGGGGGATTAATGTTCACTTGTAGTTCAGCGGCTGCAGGTGGTATTTCTGGACGAAGTGCAGGTGGTGGTCGATTCAAGAGCTTCTTGAAGTGGTCGGCCCATCGTTTCCTCTGTTTCTCTTCTTTCGTAATTAAATTTCCTTCTTCATCTTTTATTGGTTTCATCTGTGTTGGTCTCTTCCCTGATAGCAACCTGGTTATTTGATACAATGTCGTCAGGTCTCTCTTACCTGCAGCCTGTTCTGCTTCACTTGCCAGTGTTTCGTAGAAGTGTCTTTTGTCTTTGCGTGCACTCTTCTTCACTTCTTTGTCCAGTGTTTTATACATTGTGCTCAGTTCCTCTTGTCGTTGAGCATCCTTGCACTGGTTTATCTTCTGCTTCACCATCCTCCTCTCCTCTATCAGCTTCCAGGTATCCGTCGAGATCCATTCCTTGTCTTCCTTCTTCCTTCCTAATACTGTTGTGCAGGTTTCTTTCCACATAGCTTTCAAAGACTTCCAGTGTTCTTCCACACAGGTTTCTTCAGGGATGTTGCTCGATGTCTCCCATTTTGTCTTGATGGCTGCCTTGAAGATCTCCTTTGTAGTTTCATCCTTCAGTTTCCGAGTGTTGTACTTGGGTTGAGGTCTATCACCAGCTTCCTTGAAGGCTTTTAACTTGATTTGGAAGGTTCCTTGCACTAGGTAGTGGTCTGAACCTACATCTGCTCCTCTTCTTGACCTTGTGTTAAGTAGACTGCGTCTCCATTTTCTTGAGATTGAGATAAAGTCGATTTGATTTTTAGTGTGTCCATCTGGTGAAATCCATGTCGCTTTGTGGATATCTTTGTGCCTGAACACACTGCCTCCAATCACCAAATCGTTGAATGCGCAGAATTCTGCAAACAATTCTCCATTCTCATTCATTTCACCTAGCGCCTCTCGACCCATGGTTAGTTCTCTTCCCGTGTTGTCCCCTCCCAGTTTGGCATTCATGTCGCCCATCAGAATTTTGATATCGCCAACTGACGTCTTGTCCAGTGTTGATTGAAGTTGTCTGTAGAAATCCTCCTTTTTCTCTTGCTCTGCATTATTTGTAGGTGCATAACATTGTATGATTGTGACCTTTCTTCCTTTTGAGTTGAATCTTGCTGTCATGATCCTGGAGGAGATTGGTTCCCACTGCATGAGAGCCTTCGATGCTCTTGAGGACATCATGATAGCCACTCCCTCAGTGTGCTCGTGGTTGGCGTCTGGGTGACCGGAGTAGATTATTGATTCTCCAGTTGACAGTTTGGAGAGTCCACTCCCATTCCATCTGCTTTCGCAAATCCCAAGCACTTCGATGTTATACCTTCTCATCTCCCTTGCAATCTGGGCTGCCTTACTGGGTTCAAACATCGTGCGGACATTCCATGTCCCCACGTTTACTTTCGCTTTCATCGAGAGAAGACACATCGGCCAATTGGCTTCCCGAAGGCTTTCACCAACTGGCGTCATTTCGCCTCTCCGATTCCAGCGGGGAATAAGTTTGTTTTCATTTTTTATATTTTGTTTGTGCTTTGAAGTTTCTTTAGCGGTTAGATTTGTTTTACGGGGTAGGGTTGCTAGCCCTATGCCCAACCTTCCCTCTTTACCCGGGCTTAGGACCGGCTAGTAACTAGTAAACTAGTTAACCAGGCGAGGTCACAAAAAATCCTTTTCCCTTCTATGTGACTGACGAAGGAGTGAGAGTTAACAGGATGGTAAATGTTGATCTCCCTTATAGGTCCGTCACCATACAATTTGTCTCAGTATCCTGTGGTTTCATCCTGTTTAAGCGGGTGAGTATCAAGCTATTTAATAAAAAAAATCAAAGATTGCCAAGAAGCATACAAAACAGTTATATCCTGAAGAGCTTTAAGGTTATGAGAAACAAGAATAACTAATACTTCAACTAGGTATCCATGTATTTCAACAAAAACTAAAGTAATGGTACTTTGGTTCAGTTTTCATTGTTTTTTCAATTATCTTGCTACTAATACAAGTGTAATCATTTAAATGTGATTGTAATTCGAATGTAACCACCTTCTCACAGCAAACTGATGTGATTTTTTCACAGAGAATGTAATATAATTAGGTAGTTTTTGAAATGGTGGGTGCTCTTTCTTTTCCTTTACTGAATTACCATCTTCTTTTTCTTCATGCTGAGGATTCGCATTTTCAGTCGTTTCATTACAGATAAATTTTGAATTACCAATGTTGTTGTCACCAAGTTTTGGAGTGTTGATAAATTGTGAAAGTAACAACTGAAAATTGTCCAGATTTTTCTGAACTTCAGCCAGTTCATCATCATCAAGGCTGGATACAGTTGGTGGTGATTCTTTCTTTAAAGTATTAGAGGTTGTGAGAGATGAACTGATGTTTCCCTTTCTGTCAGACAAAACCAAATTTGAGCAGAAATGTTCTTCATTTTTAAACAATGGATACATTTTTGTAGTTATTTAATCAGATCAAAAACAGCTACTAACATGGTTGAAAGTCCTTAAAAGGTGTGTCAACCATAAATTTTTTCTGAGCAGTCAGATTTATCCAATGCAGTAAACCTCAATAAAAAAAATGAGGGAAAGCTAGAAGGTGGGATTATTTAGTGTACCCCACTCCAGTTCCACAAATAGTCTTTCACAGTGTGAGCACTTCAGTCTTAATGTTTCAAGCTGTCAGAGTGAACTTTGGTATTTTTCTTGTGATTTCAGGTCAGACTTTATCGAAGCTATAAAAAACATTTTGGGCTATTTACCGTCACGAAACTACTAAGTTTTATTGCAAATGAAAAGTTACGCGGTGGTGTGAATGGTGTTAAGATCGGACACCTCTATATCGCCTAAAGCTTCACTATGTTGTAATTTACTTGATAGTGGCTAAGCAAGCAACCCGTTGGACAACGCTATGACGTTCGAGACGATGAGTAATCCTTTCCAGCCTAAGTTGGAACACTCATTGGGATGCGGGTTAATACATCTGACGAGTCGTAAATCGGAAGAATTGCGCGTCCCAGGGTTCCACCGCCAGTTACAACACAGTGACCATTTAGACAGTATCCAAGACTCCACATGGGAACCCATATGCCAACAGAGTTTGACCAATTTAATCCAGTATCAGTAATTCTAACCATGTTAAGTGTATGTCATTCTAAGTGTCATTTTAAAATGATCCCTTACCAATTGTATTCCTAATAGCCGCCTTCATAACAGATATAATATTGATTTTTACCTGCTCAACAGCGCAATGAATGTGTTTTTAATGTGAGGAAATTCTGGCAAACGCTTGATATTCTCTGATACTGAGTGGCAAAAATTTTATAATCAAGCTAGGTAAGTGGATCAGTCAAGGCTGCTATGCGCATTCTGCACTACATATTTTCTTCGTTATATCAAACTGGTATTCATATGAATCTCATTAGAAAATTGATAAACACCAACATGGTTGCGCACAATGTTAGAACCACTTTTGACTCAGTTAACTGTCATAATAAATCTTACCGAATCTGTCTTTTACTTGTAATCAATCTTAACTACAGATCACCTGAGAAACACGGGCATCACCAGCCACTCCTACCTAAAGTGAAACCTGTTAGCAGGAACAAATTGTGGGACCTTAACGCTTCACGACAATTACATTAGTGCTCTGCCACTTACTGTGTTATGACCAGTGAGTTGCTGTTTTACCACACCACTCAGTTGTTGATATGCCATGAACTTCGCTCAGTCATTGTCACTGTACAGTATTTGCTTCACTGAAATCTCTGAAAAATCACAGCCTCTTAAAAGTTGTACATACTTTGTATCGATGTCTGTCACTAGGTTTTCTGACCAACTGACTCCGAAATTTCAAAACTGAAAACAACTCTGAATGTGACAAGCACGGAAAAGAAGCAGCTAAATTTGAAATCGAAATTTTTCTCCATGAACAGCTAGGACAGAAGCTTTGAGCTTCAATTTTCTTCTAAAGCAGGACTGTAGTGGGTACTTCTGATAAGAACGGATATAAAAAGTGTGTGGTGAGAGGTCGCAGAAGTCATAGGCATTTACGAGCTATGGGTAAATATTCTGCACAGAGAAACACAAGAGACGACGTGGGTATATGAAGAGGAAAAACAAGACAGAAGAAGAAGAAGAAGAAGAGGAAACGAAACACATTGTGCAAATGAATAGTTCAGTAATGTACAGTGTCACAATAAAAATTCTTCTAAGTTTCATCCTTTGCCATTTTCTTACAGGATGATGCAAGTGGGCGGTTTGATGTTTTCCAATGAGTTAGTCATTTCTCTAGTGTATTTTTACATGCTTGCATCAGGCTTCGCCTCATGGTATTTCCCTAGCTGAGTGAAGCATTGTTCACTCGTCAGGACTGTCACCGCTCATCTGCAGGTTATGTATCTCAGTAAATTCCGTCTCGATGTGCACATTCAATTTTATCAGCCACTGACTCCGTGCCATTTTGGTAGCGAAAGTTTAGAAGATGCAGAAATATCTTTCTGCTACCATTTTGCCTGCAAAAATACTCAAAATGCTTTTGACTGAGCTGATGCAATAAATTAGATAGAGGGAATACGAAGTTTGCTGTGGAATCTTCAAAAGTTTTAGCTTTATTTTGCAATATGTTTCATAGATGCGCTAAATGTATCCTGTATGAACACAAATCACCGGTCAGAGTGAATGTAAGACAGCACAAAATTGGGACAACAAAACATTATCTATCTGGTAAGTCTGATTAAATAAACTTCCAGGTCAAACATTTTACCCAAACTTATTTGTTTGGTGGTGGCTTGCAGTACAGTAAAAGAGTTGTGTTGCACCCTAGTGTTCACACTGGAATTCAAACTCACAATCCACTTATTCCAACTCTAAAAAGAAGCGTTATTATCTACACTAAAGCTTGAACTATTTCTTGAAGATGCTTTGATATCGAAAATTTAAATCTATACTATCAGACCACTTCACCTCAAGACCAACCAAAAAGATAGACAATCATGTGGAGTTTTCAAAAAATATGAAATAAATTTGAATAATGATTGGAGTAACATACGTTTTAGTGGAAACATTACAAGAAGGAATAAGTTTCACCATGTCTCCTGTCCTCTCATTGCATGGAAAATTCTCAACAAATTCTCTATTGCCTTGGTTAAAAGAGTCATGAGTTTTTCGAATCTGTCGGAGATATTTTGAATAGTTCAGTAATGTTGGATTTGGAGGTTCATCCCACTGGTATGTTTCTCGATTGACAGCTCTAGAAGAAAAATAACATGATTACAGTCATATGTATATTGAGATGATTCCTTTCAACATGGTTGGAGGTCTATGTACCCAATAAGTATCCTGAATTCATTTTTATCTAGTGGTTTTCTTTTGAGCTGGTTTCACCAAGTCTCATTATTCTTTCATCAATCTCTTAATCACAAAAATGTGCTTTTGTTGAATTTCAGTTTACCTTCTATCTTGGTTAAAGGTTCTTGGAGGGTCGACGAGAAAAGTCTCCAATCTGTTGTCACAGTGGTTCCACTTTCTTGGAAGGCATATTTTTCAGACTTTTCACTTCCTGGACGATTGTACTCATATAGTATGGGCACCAAAGAGTGGAACTAGAGGGATGCCGGAGTAGCATTTTTGAACACGTACAATCAAGAATTTTGTTGAAAATAAACAAACTAAAAATTAAACGATACTGAAAGAACTGCTTCCGTAATATCTAGAATCTTCTGATCAAATTATGATATTTATTTATGAGGCTGAGTAACCGAATAGCGTATGCAATTGGTATGAAATGACAACTTAGTATATTAGTACCAAAAAGCAATAAATTAATACCTACAGCTGCTCTTTGAACACTCTTAACAACCGTATATAAAACACGGTGTAGCACAATATTTTGTTCTACTGTTCAACAGTCATACTACCTTTTGTGATTAGTAGACACTGGACAACAAAGTGCTGTTGGCTGTCTAGCGCTTCATTCGCAGAGTGATACCGAGTAACTCAAGTAGAAATCAATAGTTGAAGTCATCAGTAAATGAGGTACAAGGCTTTGGGTTTCCTTTATTTCGTTATGCGACTGGGTGTTGAGAATGATCTTACTGAACACGTTACTGAATTGCTCAGGAGAAGTGAGTTGATTTTGTGAAAACTTCTTGCCGTTGTTTTCTAATTTTTCCACAGTTTACTAATTTATAAGTTACTATGTGGAGCATGCATTGTTCGGGAGTAGCTCCAGTACTTTGGTGTATTCATTATGTCACTTTGGCTAACCTCAGCAGTGCACACCACCGACTGTTAATTGGTTCATGAGTGATTAAGATTCATTTGAGACTAGTCAACTCTTCGTGAACCTTTAAACTGTTTAGCAATCCATTTTTTTCTAGTGGCTTGTTTCAAAACAAACTTACTGAAGTCTTAACGAGAAGCTGTAACCTAAGAGGCCAATTAATTTGGGTGTGACGATAAATATTCACCAATTACGTTGGATTATGGTTGTAATGTACTGAACATAGATGGGAATAGGAGAGTGTAGACCGTCACATATAGTGATGAATGAAACAAAACCATTAACGTACCAGTTTGAACTTGTCACTTACATTTTGGGGCTATCAAGTTATTCACCTTCATATTTCCATCTTCTTGCATCAGTTGAATGAGTAGTTGGTCATGGTGGAAAATAACGGGGTATGCATGATGTTTTCTTTGTTCTACACTGAGTAACAATTTTCTACGTTGTGTTTCTTGGTGTTGTAATGAGTCAATCGTAAGAGACGTTTCATTTGGACCTAGTATACTAAAGAAAAGAAACATTATCATTTTAACACTTTCAATGACTCATTTACAAGTGGATGATAACAAGATTTGCACTAGAAATCGTTGCATTATCCGCTTGGCCATCTATCGAATCAACCGCCTTGTTCAAGGCTAATCAGCTGTCAGTTTCACTCCAATCAGAGAAAGTATCAGGTGAATGAGTTTCGCTTATACAAATGTTTATTATCAAGATATTGTCTGTTTCGTTAGGCATTCTAAACCAAGTTCCAGTCGGTCTAAATGGAAGGGATAAGAAACTGACAGGTAGAATGTGTTCAGCTTTAGAATTTCAACTTCAACTTCTTTGCCTTCAGTTGTTTATCAGGAATTACTGGTGAATAGATCAATCAATTTTAGTTATAAATAAGAATCCAACCCTGAGAACACTTATTTCTAAAGCTTTGAAGCATCTATTTCTTAAGTATTTTGTTTTTTTGAGACAGATATGGTAACGATGATAATTTTATTCTTATATGAGAAAGTACCTCTTATATTAACTTCAGAAGGAATTTCCTTCTTTGCTATTTTCCCTGAGGAGAAGGAATTAGCAGAATTTGGACCCCTGGATTTTGACCCAGTGGCTCGATGGCAGCGTGTTGGCTGGAGAACTGCAGAGTTATGGGTTCGATCTTGGGCTACACACTACTGAATAGTTCCATACATGGAAGCAACAGTTATCCAGTGGTCCCAGTTCTTCAGTGGTTCTCCAGCTGATTTCAGTCTGTGATAGATACCAACTTGATGTTAACTAGTGTTAGTGAAGTAGTACACATGAGAAATATTCAACCCGGAAACAATCGAGATTGTGTCTTTCGCTCAGTCGTTTTGAAATACAAATATGCAGTTAGTTTAAATGCATACAAGCGACTCATTTGTTGGTTCGTAGGGTTTTTTAAGTAGTTTCTGTCACGAATGGATATAATTTGCAGAAACAATGAAAACCTGAAGGTACTGAAATCAGACTTCTCAATAATGCTCATCTGCGATCCCACGAGGGATCGAGCCCTGAGTCATCAAGTCTCATGGTGTACGCGTCACCATACAGCCAAAAGGTTGGAATGTGATAGCTCACATTCTTCTACTTTTGACAGTTTATGATATTGCTCTGCCATCATTTACCGTCATTAATAGGTATCATCTGACTCTCAAACAGGTCTATCTCACACTGGGCACAGGTGAGGATTACCAAACCGAGACAAGACAGCTATCCAGTGCTCCCAGATTATCAGTGGTTAAGAAAATAGGGCCATGTAGGTTCAGGATATAGAGATGATTAAGTATGAGGGAAGAATGAACGTCTAAGGTAGCGTATGTTTCTTTAGGTGTCTCAACAGTGGTTTATGTTGTATCACCGATCGTAATCCGGATGACCGCAATTACCATAGGACTCAAACGTCGTGACGTCGCACCTCACAGAGATAACCTTTTCTGATTACTGTAAGGCTCATTTTTGTACAAGTCTGCTCCTTCTTTGTTATGAGGAGGCATACTCAAAATATGTCGTTACCATTCCATCTGGTGCAATTTCACAATCCTGTCAAAAGATGCATCTCTTCTTATTGAAAACGTATGCTAAACCTGGGTATCATTTACCTACTGGTCGCCCTAAACACGATGAAAGATTATAGTCTTTCAGTATTGCATCACAGTTACACCACACAAGGTTACTGCATCGGGACTGGAATACTTGAAATCTAACGGGACTTGGAAACATTCACAACCATTCTATTGCTGGATTTACCTTTAAAATCTGAGAAAAGAAAGTCTAACACAAGGATTTTGATTTGAATCACCCACTTAACGTTTGTTAACTGAAGATTTGATTAATAATATTTGTCGCTTGTAAGGTATGGTCAAATTAAAAATAAAAATTTTCGTTAGTTATTAGTTAATACAACCATGTTCTTTTCAATGAACATGAAGCTTAAGCATTTTCAAGAAGTAACCTTTACGGTTCCAAAGAAGAGATTATTTCGATTCGGGGGAGATACAGTGGCAGAGATACTCAAGAAACGACTGTGTAAAGTAATATTAAAGATTTTCTTTTCTGCCCAACTTAGAATTGTTTTCTCCGCTCACCAGCTGATGCTACGGTGTTTAAACGATAAGCTACTACTTTGCGCCACTGCCATGTTTGTTTGCCAATTCACCTACTATTGTGGTGCTGGTTACATAGGCTGGACAAAGCGTGTTCGATCCAAATGCATTTCCGAACACTATCCTGCATGGCTGTCTGAAGTAAAGTGCGAAGGAATTCATAACTCGAGTCATGAGCATATGATTAAATCTGGTTTCTCTGCTCCACGAGAATCTCCCTCCAAAACCATAACCACCCTAGGAAGTTTTATTTGTTTATTGATTTAGCCACAAAAGGAACCTTATTCATTTAATGTGGACGAAAGTCAAAAGGATATGCAGAAATGACACACTAGACGGTGAGTTGGAATGCCTTCAGGAAGTACTTCTTCAGAATGGCTATCCCACTAGGTTCATAAAAATATGAAGATGAAACAACTACAAGGACAAGTGCTCACTGATGAATATTGAATTCAGAAGGGACAGTGCAGCAGAAATACTGAAGAATCACCTCTTTAAAGCGTTCATAAAAACACTCTATACCACCTAACTGCGAATTGTTTTCTTCAGCTGACAGTTGATTCGACAGTAGTGTGAAGGACAAACTGCCGCTTTGAGTCACGTTCACATGGGTCGATAAGTTTATCTGTTCTTGTAGAGCTAGTTATATGGGCCGCACAAAGTGCAGTCTTTCCGAATGCATCTCCGGGCACTGTATTGCGTGGCTGTCCAGAGGAGAACGGAAGTCAAGCAACAGTTCATATTGGATCATTCGGCCAACTCTGGTCTTGTCGTCTCTACAGAGTCTTCTTCCAAATTCCTATACATAATTAAGCCAAACTGCTCGAAAGGAGCATGAATTCGTCAGTTGTGTAAGGTAGATACGTTGGCAATCAGACAATTAAAGCATGAGTTCTGTGTAGAAAAGTGATACATCATTTCTCTTATTTCGCCGTGGTCATAATCTTTTCTTGAGTTGCTTTATTGCTTCAATATTCCTCCTACTCTTCCTGACTGACTATCACTACTTATTTTTACTTTGCGGCTTACTTTCCCACACCTTAACATTTTAGCTCCAATCTCCCATTTAAATTCTCACAATACTTTACTCAGATCAGTCACTATAATCTTATGTTATTATTTTTGAACTGTTCATGTTTTAAACTACTAAGCATCATTTTAATCTACTGCAAATTTTCCTTAAGGATGCTTGATTACGCAATCACACTCTAACTTTACAGTTAACCCATTATTTCATCCTAAAGCATTCCGTTTCGGTGATCTAATGTTGACCTATCAACTAATAGCAGAATAATCTTACTATTTATGGATATGCTTGTAATCGAATTGTTAATAATAATATGATAATAATAATAATTCACTTTATTCCAAACAATTTGTGGTACAATTTGGAATTCTCAGCGTTCGACCTCTATTGGTATATGGGCTCCTATGCGGATGCCTCGATAATGCCTGATTGTTAAATATGGTAATTTACCTGGTTACGGGAACAACATCACTCACTGGGGTGCAGGTACATCCATCTGACAAGTCCCAAATAGGACAAAATGCGCCACCCAGATTCTTCTGCCAGTCACAACCAAGTAAATTAAAATCGTTTATTTTAACTATGATTAAGATTGTACAGCTTTTGAAAATAATTCATTGAAAAGAAAATTTTCTTCGCTGAATTGTCTTTTGTTAATTTTTTATGGTCAAAGGCAACTACTTCAATCAGCGATTAGTTGATACAATCATGTAACAACGTTTTCTATCCTACAGTTTAATTTGGACTACTGCCTTAGATCTATAATACCAGTCAGATTTTTCCCCTTTTGATTGTTTTAAAACAATTTGCTTCCCACTTTTTGATGCCAACTATCTAAGGGAATTCAAGCAAAATCAGTCAAAGTTTCGTGCATAAAAATATGAATGTTTAATTCAGTCGTAGTGTTGTTGCTTGTATTATCCTGTAGTTGTTTGGACCGAATCGATCGGTCTTTGTTGACATATTTTCTCCTGCGACGGGCATAGTTTTAGTGTTGTCACACAATGACAGGCTATCGTAGCTCGGTAGCATAGTTAACAACGCTCTGGCGTTTGAAGCGACTGACTTCAAATCCGAGTTCCAGTGGGAACAACACTCACTGGGAGGCAGGCACATTATGCTGACGAGTCCCAAATGAGACGAAATGCGCGTCCAAGACTCTGCTGCTAGCCGCTACCCATCATTAATATTTAATTCAGTCGACTAAATAATTCGATTTAGAATTCGCTCACAGTTGAACATTTGTACAAAATATATTTAAGCCTAAATTACCTGTTGGATTTCTGGCATAGATCCATCGAATTTACATGTTCAACATCCATATTTTGGTAGAAAAATTTTAACAGTCTTTTAGTGTATTATTTGCCTGCATAATTCCATTTATCAATCTCACAGATAGATGAGAATGTTGAGTTCGATTCTAGGTTAAAAAAATATTCCAGTTTTTGATCAATTTTACAATGAGTGGATATGATGATACAATCCCTTGGACACTGAACAATTTTAAGTACCCAAAGCAGATGAATATTAATTCAGAAACATAAGAAACATATAAAGACTTCTCTTAGGCAAAAGTTTATATGAAATTATTTGAATGGGTTTGTTATTTATTGTGAAAAATCACTTGCTTGCTATCACCATAGCAACATGCTTCATAATTGATTGAAAAAGTGAATCGATTAGGTGGTTGACTAGTGAAACTTGTGTGTGTACTTATAACGTCTCCTATCATCAAGTACATTTATCTACAACATTTATGAACTCATTATCAAATGATTGACGAAATAAGTTAAAGCGTGTTCAGTCTTGATAAATAGTTTTACTCTCATTGTGTTTAACTCCCTCCCATCAAATGGAACTATACGTGAGTGGAATTTGCATACTGTGGTCCAGGATAATTCCAGCTTAGTTTCTTTGTCAGATGTATTATACAGTATTATTAACTGGATGACATTTCGAGAACAATTTATTACCCATAGTTATTTTAGTGCTTTCTAGCAACATTCTCGTTTAGTTTTATAGTTATACAGTTTTTCATTCTTCGATTAAAATGGCAGTGAAATATTCCACATATCCATAGTTAGTGTTGTATCATCCCCATTATACTCATCAAGTGTCGATTCAATAACCAAAACTGAGCCTCTCTCTCAACTTCCGAAAGTTGTTTTCCAAAGTGTTCACTTTGTTCATTCCACTTGTATGTGCCATCATGAATGACTATGGCTGAGTTTTCTCCAGGTTTCTTATTTTCCCAGGATTCATCAATCTAAATTTAGCTGGCATTTTATGTTCTGGTAATTCAGCTATGGTTGTTGCAGTTATTACATGTAGTTTAGACGTCCAGATTGTTTTATCTCATGGGTTCAATTGGATCCTTTTAGTCAACCAAGTTTGTCCTTGACACAGGTGTAAAACTTGGGCGCTGTGGTTAAATTTAATTCCATATTAGATTTGTTTAGTTGATTTATAATACACAGTGAACTAGTATTATTTACTTGATGACATTTCGAGCATAAATTATTAACGCTCATAATTATATCAATGAAATCACACCACTTTGACATCTAATTTTTATAGTTATATCACTTCATATGATTTGTTCTTATTGGTAGTAAAATTTTCCATATCTCTGGTATATGTGTTGCGTCATTTCTAATACATGCGTTGCGTGTTGACTCGATGAACAAAGATTGAGTAATTAATATCTCACTCCACCTAATTATATTGACCTATATAGGTCAAACTAGTCGGTCGAGGTCAGTTAGAATAGCCTAACATAGGAATTTAGCTAAATATAAAATGACAGACCTAAATAAGATCAATAATCTAGAAAAAACTCGGCTATTGCTATGCATGGATTAACACACAACCACACAATAGGGTGGGATAAAACCACTGTACTTAAGTTCCATATAAATAGGTGGAGATTAGGAGAGATTGATTACTGAATCTTCGTTCATCGAAACAACACGCAACGCATGTAATAGAAATGACGCAACACCTATACCAGAAATATGGAAAATTTTGCTACTAATAAAAACAACTTATAAAAATGAAATGTCGAAAGTAGTGTGATGACACTGATGTGGTTTTATATATATATACATATATATCCCTTGGGTTCCTAGTGGAACATACGGCTAGAGCAGAACGTCCCCGTTTCACTCTCTTCTCTGCAGTCTTTTCAACCTGGCTCCAACACTGCCAACAAGCTTTCATTTCTTCCTTACTCGATATCCTCCATGTCACCCTCGCCTCGGATGACCAACTTTTCGTTCCCACCTGGGGTCCCACTCAAAGACCTGACCTGGCGAGTAATGTCCGCAAACTGTCTTCTCAGTGTATGTCCAACCCAATGCATCTCCAATTTCTTCAACATACTGTTTTGGTTGATGGGTTGTTGGTTGGTTCGTTATCAGGCAAGAGTTCCTTGTTGCTTATTCTTTCTGGCCATCTGATCTTCAGTATCGAGTGAACGTAGGCGGCAGCTGTTGATGACATATGTCTGTAGTTTGTTGGAAATGCTTTTCATGACAGGCCAAGATTCTGAACCATCACATAGAAGCACTCACTTGACTGAATTAGTGATGGAAATCTGGATCTTGTCCAGGCAATATACTGAGTGCAGTGCAGTGAAGTAGATTTCCACACTGACTTCAGGTTAATGAAGACGTGTCTTGTTGTCATTTTGATCCTGGCTGGTTTCGAGATCCTCATGTGTGCTTGTACCGCCTGTAGTTGAAACGATGCTGGCTAGGTAGGTGTGCAGGTGTGTAGGTAGGTAGGTAGGAAGGTAGGTGTGTAGGTAGGTAGGTAGGTAGGTAGGTAGGTGTGTAGGTAGGTGTGTAGGTAGGTAGGTAGGTAGGTGTGTAGGTAGGTGTGTAGGTAGGTAGGTAGGTAGGTGTGTAGGTAGGTAGGTAGGTAGGTGTGTAGGTGTGTAGGTAGGTAGTTAGGCAGGTAGGTAGGTAGGTGGGTAGGCTAAAGAGACAACTTCCTTCAGATTTCTCCAGTTGAAGCTGGCTGGTGCTTGTTGTTGCTGTTGTTGATTGGTTGTTTGGGATATCTTCATCACCTCTCTCTTCTCTATGTTCACCTGAACGAAGTCCGGTCTTCGCTGCCTCACTTCTGCGAACTTGTTGATTTTTGCCTGTAGACCTTCGAGTTTGTGCGACAAGACATTAGACATAAATCATCACAACCAACGAAATCTGAATCTTTTTCTAGGGCCTTTTCATTGATACAGACAGAGTATACCCATCTTCTTAAAGCCCTTCACAGTTTGTTGCATGATCCAGTCCAGTCCAGTCGACCACAATCAGGAATGTAATCGGTGATATTAGGCGGTAACCTTGTCCTACTACTGTCTTCACTTCAAAGGCGACACTGAGTTTTCCATTGTGAATTACTTGGCATGTAACGTCGTCATATAGCTGTTGAATGAGGTTGATAAAGGTTTGTGGCTCTAAAACTGTAGTGTTGAAGCGGCTGCCTGACAAATCACTTCTCGGTCGACACTATCGAAGGCCTTTTCAAAGACGATGAAGTTGAGGTTGAGTTGAGTTGACTGCCATTCTGTGCTCTGTTCTATGATGCGTAGCGTAGTGTTGCGATTTGATCCGAACACGATTTGTTCTTTCCAAAGTCAGCCAGCTCACCTGTTTCGGTCGAAATTTTGAATCAACAGCATTTTTCAATCACTCCGGGATGATGCGGCCTAATGTTTTGCTTGTTATGGGTGGCAGGAGTATGATTCCATGCCAGTTCTTGCAAAGACTTAGGTCACCCTTCTTTGGAAGTTTGACAAGGTAGCCCTTCTTTCAATCAACCAGCAGGTACCTACCCTTCCCTCCTTCCAGGCCTTCTGCAATAGTGATGTGAGCGTATTCGCTGTTGTCTACGCGTCTGTTTTCAGTGCTTGGCGATTTGCTGTAAAAGCAGAGATGAAGACCATAGTCGACCCTCAGAGAGTGGTTAAAACAAGCAGTGGAAATTACCAGTATCTTCTTAATTAGTGCATAGACGTGAACACATTTTTGTAGGCTCCCAGTACAATGAGAAGTGAATGCAATTCAAGCATTCATTAACTGTGAAGCGTGGCAACTTGAGTCAGTGCACATGTGTGCGATGTTCTACGTTGATTTTGTAAGTCAGCCAGTTAAAGAGGAAGCAGTATAACAAATATAGTGTAGAAGCTTCTAGGTTCTATAAACTTTAAAGGTTTGAATGGAGCTCAGGAACAGCCAGTCTGGGGAAATCAGGCATATAAGCAGGCTTCAGACCTGTCCTTGGGAGTATCGACTAGATATTCATACTCCACCAGATTATGGAACACTAGCTGCATTTCTCGACTTGAAGGTGACTTTCGAATCCAACGACTATCAGGTCTTATTGCAGTCTCTCACTGAAAGGAGTACCGAATAAGTGCATCATTCTGGTAAAGGCTCTTTACTTGAACACCCGTGAGCGCGTTAGAGCATATGGTGAATTGTCAGATGAGCTGTGTAGATCGATTGTTGTCCTTCAGGGATCCCAACTCTCTTCATTTCTATTCAGTTTCGTCATAGACATTCTTATTTAAGTCTGTCTATCGTTATCTGACATCGCAAGAATTGATCTAATCACTGAAGCCTCCTTAGTAGAACTAGAGTACACAGATGACATAGTTCTGTTAGGGATGCGTTATGCGCCACCTAAGTGCAAATTGTTTTTCGAGAACTGGTCTTCAGCAATGCCCCAGCTAACGATAGAGAACAAGTGGCTCTTGCTAAATCGGGCCATCTGCGGCGCCCCCGCGATACCCGATTGCCAATCATTATTATTATTTGTCCCTTGGGTTACTGATGGAACATAGGGCTACAGTAGCATATCTCCAGTGACCTCTGTTCTCTGAAATCTTTTGAACCTGGCTCCATGACAGCCCACAAGCTCTCATTTCCTCCTCTCACGATCTCCTCCATGTCACCCTCGCCTCATACGCCCAACTCATCGCTTCCCATAGAGGTTTCACTCGAGCAACTGGCCTGACGTGTGATGTCCCCAGTCGGCCTTCTCACTGCATGCCCCATCCATCTCCACTTCCTTCCAGTGCATATTTGTTGCGTGATAGCTTCTTGGTTGGTTCGTTATCAGGCAAGAGTTCCTTGTTCCTTATTCTTTCTGGCCTTCTCACCTGATCTTCAGTAGCGAGCCAGCGTAGGCAGTTGTTGATGAATGTCTACAGTTGTTTGTTGGAAATCCCTTTCGTAACGCACCAAGACTCTCAACCATACAGAAGCACTGACTTGACTGACGTCGGTGTTGAAGATCCGGATGTTGTTCCACA